CTTCCCACCTGGGCTCGCAGCCGAGATGAGCGAGAATTGGGGGACGACGGAGAAGTTGGTGCCTTCTGCGTTCCAGGGGAAGCCAACGAAGCTGCAGTGTGTGTGTGTGGCTGCGCAACATGAGCCATCTCTAGTCAGCACTCCAGGGCTGACCTGGCTTCAACCACCTGAAAGGGTCCGGCCCCTTCCGCCCCCTCCCCCTCTCTCTCCTCCCCCTCCCGCTCTGCCCTTTCCCTATCCCTGTATCTGGTTCCCGTGACAGTTGTTTTTCTGCGCGTGTGTTGTGTCATGAACTCGCCTGCACGCCCGTGGAACCGCTTACATGAAACATGCGAAATGGTTTTGGAGAGGCTGTGACTCCAAGGTCGCCCTCACGATGTCCAGCTGGCCTGGGGCGAGCACCTCTTCCAACGACCCCGCTCTGGCTGAAGGATCTGGCCTTGAGGATGCAGCCCTCAGAGTCTCAGTTTGCTTTTCCACCAGGTAGCTCGGGGGCATTCGGAAGCATTCCTCCTTCTCGTGCCCCCAGTGTTCTCCTCTTCGCGTTGGCGTTGCTGTGCTGTGCCCCCAGTGTTCTCCTCTTCGCGTGCCATTCGGAGTGCGCTGTGCCCCCAGTGTTCTCCTCTTCGCGTTGGCGTTCGGGGCTGCAGCCGGGTGAGCAGGGGCACCCGGGCGCGGTGGGGAGACCGAGCTGCCGGCCGAAGAGAGCGACAAGATCTCGGACAAGATCGCCGCGCTGAGGAGTGCTGCAGGGCTTGCGGGAAGCAGGTCAGTAGGGGGCCACATGTGAACCCTACCCCTACCCCCCATGATTTCTGAGGGGGAGGGTGGGGTTCACTTTGTTCGGGAGCTCCCGAGCGAAGTGAACCCCACCCTCCCCCTCAGAAATCATGGAGGGTAGGGGTAGGGTTCACATGTGGCCCCCTAACCAGGGCTCGGAAGGGCGCGAAGCCGTCGTGGCCCCGCCACCGCGAGCTCCCCGCAGCAGATCGCAGAGGGGGCATCGCCCTGTCGGGTCGCCCCTCTCGTCGGCCTCTTCCGCTGCGGCCTCCCCGTCGGGAACTTCTCGGTTCCCTTTGCCGTGCAGCCCCGTTCCGCGTTTCGTCCCAGTGGCGCCGAGGATTGCCTGAGGCGAGGCGTGGCAACGCACAATACTCAGGAGGGAAAGACTCACACAGGCACAATCAATCGTCGACTCCCAGGAAAATATGGGAAAATATGGGAAGTGGGGGGGGGGGAAGACGAAAACCCAGAACATATAGGAAACTATGTGGAATTCTGTTATTTGTGTCCATTTATTTGTGTGTCCCAGGGCCCCTTCAAATACTACCAATGACGACCTCAAGCTTGTGATGGGGATCGCTCGTTGTTTTTTCAGGCCATCTGGGCGAGCTGTCAGAGACCACGTCGCCTCGTCAGACTGGCCTGCGTTGAGAGTGCTATGACCCTCCCTCCTGCGAGCACGCGCGCGCGCAGGAGCAGCGAGGGGAGGGGAAAGGAAGGCAATGGCGAAGCGTCCTGGCGTGCCTCTAGGCCTACCAAGCAATGTTCTGAGAACCTGTTGTGGTTTGCAATGTTCTGAGAACCTGTTGTGGTTTACACGAAATGTTCTTAGTAGAACCTTTCTTGCTGGGACTGCTTTGTTTTAACACATCGGGCTTGTGTTCTAAGACCACTGCTTTGGTTCTCAGAACACTTCTGGGTTCTCATAGCATGTCGTGGTAGACCTAGAGGCATGCCAGGACGGTCGGTCCCTGCTCAACTGATTGCGCCGCTCCACTTCGAGGAGCGGGCGACTGGCACGAGAGAAGCTTGGACGAAAAAGCATGGTGCTCGGGGCAGCGAAACGTTAATCGGCCACGCGCAGAGGGGCCTGGCATCGCTCGGACGTGTGCATTTTTTCCTCGGCGGGAACCATCGATGACCATCCTGGACCATCGAGCAAAAGACAACACGCACGAAACCGAAAAGTGCACGGGAAATGGTCGTCCGAGCGACGGCAAGGGGGGGTTTTACGGGGAGAGGGCAGGGCTTCTTGCAGGCATCCCGCTGCTTCTCAGAAGGCGCTGGCCTTGTCTGCAGACGCAGCGGTCAGCACCTGCGAAGGAGAGGCCTTGGGTCGTGTCCCTCTACTAAAGGAGGGAGATTCAAACATAGTCCATCAGTAGTCTGGGGACGATGTTTCGACCATGTTTCTGACCCTGTGGACTCTCTGTTTCGTTTGTATGCCAAACTCCGCCGACCTAGGCCTTCCCCCCTCCCCCTTCCCCCCTCGGCGCGCCGCCAAGCTCTCGGGGCGGCGAGACTCCGGGACCCCGCGCGCGTGGCCCGCCCGAGAGCGCCTCTCTCTCTCTGCGCGAGGGGGCCCCCTCGGGCGGCGCAGGGGAGCCCCGCGGAGCCTAGCCTGGGGGGGGGCCCTCTCCGTGCGCGCGTGCCGCGCCGGGGCTGCAGGCGCGGGGTGCGCACACCTCCTCCCTCCTCCTCCTCCTCCTCCTCCTCCTCCTCCTCCTCCTCCTCCTCCTCCTCCTTTCCTCTCCTCCTCCTTCCCCTCCTCCCCTCCCCTCCTCCTCTTCCTTCTCCTCCTCCTCCTCCTCCCCCTCCTCCTCCTCCTCCTCATCCTCCTCCTCCTCCTTGGCCGCGCGCCGCTGTCTTCGTGCGGCTATAGGCAGGAGTGACCTTTTGCAGGAGTGACCTGTAGCTGGAGGAACGAACAATGACACAAAAATGAAAACTCTGAGGTCCGCGCAGATTTCTCGGATCGGCGCTGGGGCCCCCTGGCGGCGCCTCCCGCGCCGCCCCTGGCGCGCTCCGCGCGCCAGGAAGGAGGGTCCAGCGCGGATCCAAGAGATCCGCGCGGACCTCCGAGTACTTATGTTTGTGTCATTGTTAGTTCCCCTCTTGGTGCGGGCACGCTCGGGTCACCCGATGGCCGAATGCGCTGCGGTAGCAGCGGCTTGCGCCCTCCGGTTTGGCCTCCCGGCGGCGCCCGAAAGTCGCGCACCGGAGGTTGTTCTTGCCCAGGGTCATTCTTACGTGTAGCCGATGCGTCGTCGAGGCCGAGCGGCGAGACATGCACTCCACCGCCACTGGCAGGGAAGACAGCGGAGGTACAGTGGGGGTGCGCATCAAGAAGCCATATGCGTTTCGTAAGGGTATCCTAGGTCATAGGTTTCTTCGCTGCGCGCGCTGCGCGGTGGCTTCCCGCAGCCGTGGAAGAGGTTGCTGCGTTCAGGGTGCTCCGGGTTTTCCCTCAGGTGCACCTCGCGCACGGGTTGTCAGGGCTTGGCTTCTTGCGAGGGTTTCTTGCGGCCGCGCCCGCACTGTACAAGGGATGCCTCATGAGGATGCCTGAGGAGGGAGACGAGGACAGTTTAGTTACGATTGCGCATGTCAGGGTTCAGAGGGTGCTCCGTGCCAGTCGGCTGCAAACTGTGCGATGTTTTCGACCCTGTGCGCTGCCTTTGTGTATCGTTCTTGCGGCAGTGGCACATCGAAGAGTAACCAGCTGTAGGGCAGAACGCGCACCAGACTCGCCTGCGCACACGACTAGTTACCTGGCTTCTTATGCGCGTGCGCGTGTGTGTGTGTGTGTGACTATGGGGCAGCTGTACCAGATCGTCTGACCCAAGCTGACTGCCACACGACAGGCCGTGTGCGTCATGGCACGGTTTGGTTGCCTGGATTTGATACAGAACCGATTGCCATTCTGTTCTTGCCTGGACGTTCGGCACCAGCGGGACCGAAGCGGAGCGGGGCATCCTGCAAGTGAAGCGCAGGAAAGTCATGCTCGACAAAGACATTGAGAATATGGACCAGAAGCTGTCTCTGCCTGGGCCCCAGACCGCTTCGGGCCTCGGGTATCCAATCCCCGACAACATCTACGTTTACAGTGACAGGTAATTATTGTCTACCACCGCCGTTATTCGTCGATTGCCAGTCTTCAGCATCCTGTTGAAGCAGGCATGCCAACAATGCTGAAATTGTCTTGGAGCACGCTTGAGAGCCTTTGGGGCGTTGTTGGGGCTTGGGGGGCCTCTTGGGGGCCGTGAGAGCCCACCTGGAGCCATCCCGATCTAAAAGAAGTGGGTCCAAAATTTGAGTCGGGCATGTTCCTCTACAGGAGGAGTGTTCAGAAGCAGTTAAAAATAGTCTGGGGACGATTGTTCTACTATGTTTGACTATTTTTGAATATGGCTTGACAAGTTTTGCGTGTTCTTCGGGAATTCGCCTGCAGGAGGACATGCCCGACCTAATCCTCGATGAGAGTCGTCTGGTTGGAACCCGACAATATTTCTTGGGCCCTTTTCGGGACGCTCTGGGGGCGCTCTTGGGGGCTTTTAGGGATGTCTTTGAGCTCTTCTGTGCCGCACTTGGGGTCCGCCTCTGAGCCATCTTTCGAGGCCTCCGCAGCCCATCGAAGGTGAACGTGAGAGAAGGCACAACGAATTGAACGTCAGGCTATCCTTGGGGTATCCCTGGGAGGCTCGGTGACCACTCTGAGCCGTCGCTGGGCCACTTGGCCGCGAGTGAGCCCTCCCGGAGCCGTCCCCGGAAGCATCATCCTGGAGGCGTTCGAGCGTGGGTCTGAAGCCTCGGAGGGCCGAGGCGATGCGCCCGGGAGTTCGCCTCCCCCAGGAGGAGGAGGAGGAGGAGGAGGAGGAGGAGGAGGAGGAGGAGGAGGAGGAGGAGGAGGAGGAGGAGGAGGAGGAGGAGAGGAGGAGGAGGAGGAGGAGAGGAGGAGCCCCCCCCGCCTCAAGCGCAAACGGCATCGTGGACCCCTGGGGAGGAGGAAACGGGGAAGGGGGGCAGCCAGTCATCTCAGACGCGGCCTGCTCGCGCACGGCAAGTACGAGTCGGCGGATTATTCATGTGTCTGTTGTTCTTGCTATTGCTACTGCTACTGGTACGACTACTACTACTACTACTACTTCTACTACTACTACTACTACTACTACTACTACTACTATTACTACTACTACTACTACTACCACCACCACCACCACCACCACCACCACTACTACTACTACTACTACTACTACTACTACTACTACTACTACTACTAAAACTACTATTATTACTACTATCACCACTACCACTACGACTACGACTACTACTACTACTACGACAGCTACTGCTACTATTCCTACTATTACTACTACTACTACGACTACTACTACTACTACTACTACGCCTACTGTTATTATTACTACGACTACTACTATCACTCACTGCTACTAGTATTATTATAATTACTACTATCACGACTACTACAACTACAACACTTACTACTACTACTACTATTATCACGACTACAACTACTGCTACTACGACTACGGCTAATACGACTACGACTACGACAACGATTAATAGTATTACTGCTACTTGTGTGATTACTACCATTACCATTGCTACTACTACCGCTATGGCTACGACGACTACTACTACTACTGCTACGACTACTAATACTACAATTACTACCACTATCACTATCACTGCCACTACCACTACGACTACTGCTACTACTTCTACTCATACCACCAGTACTACTACTACTCCTACGACGACTACGACTAGTACTGCTACTATTATTATTACTACTACGACTGCTGCTACTACAATTGCTGCTACTACTGTCATCATTACTACTACTACTGCGGCCACGACTACTACAACTACTATTACTACGACTACTATTGTTATTGTTACTACTACTTCTAGTACGTGTGCAAGTACTACTGCTACTGCTACTACCACTTCCATGTTTACGACAACTACGACTACGACTACTACTACGACAAATATCATTACGACTACGGCTACGACTATTTCTAGGACGTTTACTCCGACTAGTACTACTACTACTGCTACTACTACTACTACTACTACTACTACGACTACTACTACTACTACTACTACTACTACTACTACTACTGCTGCTACTACTACTACTACTACTACTACGACTACGACGACTACTACTACTACTACTACTACTACTACCGCTACAACTATTACGATTCGTACCACTAACTTTACTACTACTTCCACTGCTACGGCTACTGCTACCCCTACCACTGCTACTATGATTCCTACTACTACGTCTACCACTCTTTCGACGACTACTACTACTACTACTACTACTACTACGGCGACGGCTATTACCATTACTGCTACTTACTATTACTGCTTCTACGACTAGTTCTACTTACCCTGAGGCGGCCCGAGCACCGTTCGGCACCGCACGCAAACTGCTACTATTACTGTTACGGCGACGACTATTACCATTACTTTTTTAATATTGTTACAGATGCACCTACTCCTACGACTAGTTCTACTACTGTTACTACGCCTGCTACTATTATCACTACTGCTACTACTACTACTACTACTACTACTACTGCTACTACTACTAGTACAACTACTATTCGTACTACTACAACTGCTACTCGTACGATTATTACTACTACTACTACTACTACTACTACGACTACGGCTACGACCTACTACTACAACTATTACTCTTTATTGATTATGACTACGACTGATACCCCTACTCCTACTGCTACTACTACTACTACTACTACTACTACTACTACTACTTCTACTACTACTACTACTACTACTACTACTACTACTACTACTACTACTACTATTACTAGTACTACTACTACGACTGCTCTCACTGCCACTATCACTACAATTATTTAATTAAACGCCCCTGAGGGGGCAGACACCGCCGCCCCATTTTGTTTTCCCGGAAAGGGCTCGAGCCCAGGGTTCTCTTTAAGATGGTTTACCCCCCGGTTTCGACGGCTGTAGGGCCGGCGAAATTATTCTGCGATAAATTACCTGCGGGAGTAGGGCCGGCGGAATTATTCTGTGATAAATTACGTGGTAAAGTGTGAATTTGCACGTGGTCCCGAGCTGGAACCACGTGTTTTTACATGTCCAGGCCACCCAGGGGGGGGTATCTGACACGGTGGTGTCGCGCTGGAACCACGTGTTTGGGGTTCTCTTTTCCCGGAAAGGGCTGAAGCCCAGGGTTCTCTTTAGAAGTTTGCCCCCAGAATCGACGGGAAGAGGGCCGGCGGAATTATTCTGCGATAAATTACGTGCGGGAAGAGGGCCGGCGGAATTATTATTGAGGATGTCCCTAGCGAAACGCTTGTTTTTCAGAATTTGTTGAGGATGTCTCGAGCGAAACGCTGATTTTGCATAGTTGGGGATGTCTCGATTCAGAAATTGTTGAGGATGTCTCGAGCGAAACGCTGGTTTTGCAGAGCCGACCGCGACGCGGAAAAGCGCCCCGCGCGCAGGAATTCCGATGATGTTCCGAGCGTGCCGCGTCCCGCGCGCAGGAATTTCGAGGATGTCTCGACTAATTCGTTTGTTTTGCCAGGATTTCCTTGAATTTTGGCAGGATGTCTAGAGCGAAATGCTTGTCTTTCATAATTTGTTGAAGACGTTTCGAGCGAAACGCTGGTTTTTCAAAATTGGGAGATGTCTCGAGCGGGGGCCTCCTGGGGGGGCGTCGTGGGGGTCCAGAATTCAGAGGATGTCTCAGGCAAAATGCTTGTTTTCACGTCACGCTCGCAAGAATTCCGAGGATGTCTCGCGCGTGCCGCGTCCCGCGCGCAGGAATTCTGAGGATGTTGGCAGGATGTCTCGAGCGAAACGCTTGTCCCCAGCACGTTCCGTAGCGCGTCCCCTTGGCAAGTCCCGCGGTGCATCCCCATGGCACGTCCCTTGGCACGTCGCTTGGCGGGCCCCTTGAAACGTTCCGCGTCGCGTCCTCCTGGCATGTCCCCTTGTCAATTAGCTCTTGGGCAGCTACTGTGTGTTCAGGCAGCTCGAGCTTCAGATCCAGATCAGTTCGGTCAGGACTCGGATGCAAAGGAGGACTCGATCCACGAGGCTATAGAGCACAATCGCGGCACGGCGCATCGCAATTCAGCACGGCGCAGCACAGCACATATTTCGGCCCGGTACATCAAGATCGATGCACTCAGCATTGCAACTTGGCACGTTCCTTGGCACGTTCCGTGGCGCGTCCCTTGGTGAGTCTCCCTGGCACGTCGCGTGGCGCGTCCCCTGGCACATCCCGTGGCACATCCATTGGCACGTTCCGTAGCGCGTCCCCTTGGCACGTCCCGCGGTGCGACCCCATGGCATGTCCCCTGGCACGTCGCCTGGCGCATCGCTTGGGACGTTTCGCTCCCCTGTCCATCAGCTCTGGGGCAGCTACTATGTGTTCAGGCAGCAGGACTCGGATGCAAAGGAGGACTCGATCCACGAGGCTATAGAGCACATTCGCGGCATGGCACATCGCAATTCAGCACGGCGCAGAACAGCACAGCCCTCGGCAGGGTACATCAAGATCGATACACTCAGCACGGCATTTGCCCGTCATCCAATCAGGTGTCTTTGAAAACGCTGCCATGTGTTACAGTTCTATATTCCTTTCTGGGTTCGTGGGTCGATCATGTTTGGAACGCGGAGGTTGCGTGGGGGGCAAATCGGGATGTAGCGGGGGTGTTCACTCAGCTTTGGTCTGTGTCAGTAATCTCTTCGTGCTGTGGGTGTGTACCTCCCCTCAGAAAGGCCCAAGAGAGCCGGACAATGACCAACAAAAAGACGCCAGATTGGACAATAAGGTCTCAGAGGGCCTGGACAAATACGAAAGCGGGGTCTTAAAGGCTCTCAGAAAACCCCAAGAGAGCCGGACAATTATTGAAAAGGACGCCGGAAAGCCCTAAGAGAGTCTGATCATGATTTTATAAAGGACGCCTGAGGGTGTGCAAAAGTGTGGACGAAAGGAAGAGGCATACGGAGAGGCGTACAAACGAGATCCCAGTTAGTTTGGGGGCCTCACAAGGGACTCCGGGGACCCCCTGGGCGCGCCCAGGACGGCCCAAGAAAGCTCCAAAAATGCTGCCAGACGGCCCAGGCCGGGGTCGGGAGGCGTGGAGGACAGCCGCAGAGCGCGCCCGCTGATTCCAACGTGCTTCCAAGAGCCCGCGAAGACGCACGTGATCTCGAAACGAGGCAAGAATAGAGGCTCGACAAGGCCAGAATGGACATACTCACATGTGTTTTACGATATGTTTGGCGTGCTGTTTTTTTGTACTCGAAGTGGGCCGAGGAGAGGTGGGCGGGCTGCCAGACTGGACCAAAATGGCCTGGAGGACGGCCAATATCGCCCCAGGAGAGCGAATGGAGGCCTCCAACATCGAGTCAGTGAGCTCCCGGAGAGGCCTCTGAGAGAGGCCGGCGGCGCCTAGAAGACGAACGTTTCCAACGAGGTGTGTTCTGAAGCGAAAATTATGGCCAAAGAGCGCTCATTCCGCAGCTGTGGCCCCCGGGCCGGCGGAATGAGCAGGCCGCGGGGAGGGCCCCGGGAGGGGTTGCAAGGGCTCTGAGGAATAGGTATTGGTACGAGGAGTTCGTGCGCGCGCAGATTGAGGGGACTGAGTTCGTGCAGACCATGCGGCGGGGATCTCACGCGCCGTTCCCGGTGGGGCGGCGGATCGCTTCGCTCATTCCGCCGGCCCTCGAGCGCTCTATGGGGCCTCTTTGAAGCCTCTTGGGGGCCCCTTTGGGGCCTCCTAGGGGCCTCTTGGGGGCCTCTTGGGGGTTCTTGGGGCTCCTTGGCGGCGTCTTGGGGCCCCCTTGGGCCTCTTGGGGGGCTCTTGGGGACCTCTCGGGGCGGGGTAGTCGAGTGCACCCCCCTCGGAGGCCGCAGTCCTTATGAGGGGTGTCGAAAAAAGGCCTTCGAAACCATCTATGAGTAGACCTTCCTGGGCTGCGGTCGGGGTGCTTTTCGCCGGGGGGCCCCCAGGGGCCGCCCCGCGCGCGCGAACTAGAAGACTTCTTAACCAGTTACCGGAGATCTTTGCACGCCTCTGGCCCGTTGGGCCGGCGAATTAGTACCACTACTACTACTACTATTACTACTACTACTACTACTACTACTATTATTATTATTATTATTACTACTACTACTGCTGCTGCTACTACTACGACGACTACTACTACCACTACTATTACGACTACTACTGCTATTACTATTCATACTACTACACCCATTGCTACAAAAACAACGACAACAACAACAACAACTACTACTACTACCACTACTACTACTTCTATTCTTCTTACTACTACAACTACTACGATTGTTCACTGCTACTAGTACTTCCACTACTAGTATTACAACTACGATCACAACTACTACTGATATGGCTACTATTAATACGACTACGGTTACGGCAACGATTATTACTTTTATTACCACCTATTAATATTATTACTCTTACTAATGCCACTAACGCTACAACTGCCACTGCGTCTATTTCTACGACTAGTACTACTGATAATACTACTCCTACGACGACTACTGCTACTACTTCTACTGCGACTTTTACTACTACTACTACTACTACTACTACTACTACTTACTACTACTACTACTACTACTACTACTACTACTACTACGACGAGTACGGTGACTACAACCGTTGCTGCTACTACTACTACTCTTACGATTACTGTACAACAACAACAACTACTACTACTGTGATTACTACTACTACTACTACCACTACTACTACTACTACTACTACTATTACTACTACTACTACAACTACAACAACAACAACTACTACTACTACTACTACTACCACTACTACTACTCCTACTACTACTACGACTACGATCAGTATTTTTACTACTACTACTACTACTACTACTACTACTACTACTACTACTACTACTACTACTACTACTACGCACGGGCTACAATGGGCCAAGCCTCCACCACCGCTGGTATTAAGTAGGCCGGGGGGGAAAGGAAGGATGGGTAGGGTTTCGTCCTCGTCCTCCTCCTCCTTCTCCTCCTCCTCCTCGTCTCCTCCTCCTCCTCCTCCTCTGTTCCTCCTCCTCTTGCACTCCTCCTCCCCCTCCTCCCTGTCCTACCTATGCTAGTGGTTGAAAATCGGCTCACCAGGCTGACTCACCAGGGTACCAATACCGCCACCCTGGCCTCGTTATCGCTTGTTCTGGCATCCTGGAAGGCCCCGCTGTTGCCGCCGTGTTCGCCTCGAAGTCTTGTTCGGAGCGCACCCCTGGAGAGGTCCCGGAGGTAGCGGTATCGGTACCCATTCGGTTCACCCCAAACTCGTACGTAGAGTCCCGCGCACACGGTCATGCGCCCGTGAGGGAAATTGTGCGACAGTTGCGGCTGAAGCCAGGCCGCTATACGCACGCGCGGCTTCTCTTCTTCTCTGGCCCTTCCTATCTGCTGTAGTGCTGGAGTTTGGGTCTTAGCCGTTTGGGCCACAGAGGTATTTCACACAGTGTCATTCCGCACTTTCCTACAACAGGGCACGCAATTCTGAGTGTCGCGATGGTGTCTCCCTCCTCCTCCTCCTCCGCCTCCGTTTCCTCCTCCTCCTCTCCTTCCTCTTCCCTTTTTGAATGCACTGCGCGTTCTAGGATTATCGAAGTGGCCATGTGGGCCACTGGGTTTTCCGCACAACGCCCTTGTCCCTGCGCTTCCTCCCCTCTTTCCTCGTCCTCCTGCTCCTCCCTCCTCCTGATTCTCCTCCTCCTTCTCCTCCTCTTCCTCCTCCTTCAGCGCTCACCATGGCATTAATTGTCACGGGTAGCTTTTTGGGGTGGTTTGAGGTTGTCTTGGCGGGGCAAAATTTGTCCGCCCCAGCCGGCGCCGCAGTCGAAATTGTGTACAGCATTCGCTGCGTTGCTCCCAGCAAGAAGCGTGCCCAAGCGTGTTAGCCCGCCCGCCCACAGGGTCCTGACGTTCGCTTCTTGCCCCCACGCAGCGGGTTTGCGATGTTGGGGCCCCGACCACCTCCCTGCACCCTCCCCCCGAGTGGCACCTCCGACAAGATGTCCCGGGCCTTGGGCGGGATCAGAGACCATTGCAGTTCGTCCTCCTCGCTTTCCCTCCTCCGCCACCCTCCTCTCCATTCTCCCCCCTACCTGTTTCTCCCGACCCTTCTCGGGCCCCGCCCGCTCCGGCCGCCTGAGGCCCCGCCACCCTGTGCCCTGTCTCCATAATTAAAGCTGTGCGTAGCCCGCCTAGCTTTGAGCGGAACAGGTTCGCTCTCGCCCCGCCGACCAAAATTGTTTCTCCCGACCCCCCCTCTCCCTGCCGCCGTCCTCCCCTTCCTCTATGCCTTCCTCCCTGTCCCTTCCGCCCCCCACGCCAAGGGATGAGTACAAAAAGGAGATCAACGACATCCTCGCCCAGTACCCCAAGAAAGAAAAGAGGCGGGCCCCCTTTCTCCTGGGCGGCCCGGCGACCCGCCGTCGTGTCCGCTGGCGCGCTGGTGGATGATCGAGGTGTTGCGTCCCCCTCCGCCCCTTCGCGCCGACTCGTGGCCCCCGGCAGGCCTCAGTCTGACCGAGGGCAGCAGTGGCTCCTCGGCGCTCGCTGGCTGCCCTCCTGCTCCGCCGCCGCCTCGCCCGCCCCGCCGCCCCTCTCGCGCCCGTCCCCGCCTGCTGCCGCCTGCTTCTCCTGCCCCTTCCCGTCCCATCCTTCTCCCCCCGCTCTTCCGTCTCCTCCTCGTCCGCCTCGTTCCTGCGCCTCCTCCCTTCGCAGATCCTCCTTTGCTGATCCTCCTCTTCCCAGTTCTCCTCGTTGCTTCCAAGGGCCAGGATCTTGCAGTAGCCAGTTTGACCCAAGATCCTGTGTGGCGTTGTCACGAAGCAGTAGAGACCCCTGATCCAGGGAAAGGTGAGTTTGCGATGGGTCCCTTCTGCACCAGAGACCACCTGCTCCAGGGAAACATGAGTTCGCGAGTGATCCCACCTGCACCAGTGTGCTGCGCGGTCTATCTCTCACCGCCATGACATTCTCCAAGAGCGGCACTGGCAGACGCAGGGAGCATAGGTTTTTGCTTTGCGGGACAGGACCTGGAAAAGGAAACGCCCTGGACTATATGCACCCAGAGGGCTGGTGGAGTGCTGAGTCTGTTGCGGCTGTCCCCCTTCTGATTTCTTGCTTTTGGCCCACGCCCAGCTCCTGGAGGTGGGCACTGTGGTGTACATGGCACTGTGGCGTCCAGGCGCTGTGTTGCGCGCGCGCACGTCGTGTCGAAGCAGCAGCTGCGGTGCACACGGGCGGTGTGGCGTGCACAGCCTCTCTGGTGTACAGTCGCTGTGGTGCGCACGGCTGCCGTGCGCGCACGCGTTCCCTGGGGACCGCCCGAGCACGGCAGCAGACATGCAGAGCGCCTTGCCCTGCCTGCCTACGCGCGCGGCCGCCTCGCGGCGTTCTTCCTGCTGCAGACGTGGACGTCCGCCGCTCCTGGGCGACGAGCGAGGCTGCGCCCCTCCGCTCGAGCGCCCTGCCGGAGCAGCGCAGGCGCAGGCTGAGGCGTGCACGGCTCGAGGAGCTCGGCCGTGACAGGCGCTTGCGGGCTGGTGCCCATCTGGCCTCTCCCACGCAGCAGTGCGCGCCCGTGCGCCAGAGTGCGCCGGCCTCGTCCCTGCGAAGCGCTCCTCGGTTTGGCGCGCGAACGGAGGCGCCCAGGCTCGGCATCGTTCAACCGATCCCCATCCCGATCCTCGTCCCCTTCGAGACCCCCGCCAGATTACCACCCCACTTGGGGATACACCCCTCGAAACCCGAGGGGACCGGCCCACGTCCACATCTACGGGGGGTAGATCGGCCGGTGGGGCCCAGGCCACGCCGCCGGGGACGGGGGTCGGAGAAGCGAGGCGCACAGAGCTCAGCGTCCACGTGGCAGGCAAGCCTGGGCGAGGCGGGAGGCAGCGCTGCCGAGGGGGCCAGGGGCGTCGGACCTCTGCGCGGGGGAGCGCGCGGGGCGAGGAGGCTGGCAAGCGCCTCCTCTCTTTCATCTTCCCAGTCGTAAGACGGGCATGTCCCACTACAAGCGAAATATTCAAAAAAATAGTCAAACATAGTCAAGGGATGTGTCTATCATGTTTGGTTTTGGGTTATTGTTTGGCAATGCTCTACTTCTCCTCCAAAGTCCGCCTGTAGGGGGACATACCCGACCTAAGCATAGTCCTCCTTCCTCCCCCGTCCTGCTCCCTCTCGTCGGCCGCACCCGCCGGGCTATGGGGGTCAAACAGAGCCGCTCCCAGCGAAGAGCCCAAGGAGGACGACGATGACGATGACGATCCGGAGCTGGCCGAGGACGATCCTGACCTGGAGGACACGGTGTCCTTGGAGGACACAGCTTCCGCGGCCGGGGGGGTCTCTAACGGCTCGCCTGGCTGGTTGCAGACCCAGGCGATGGAGTTTCAACGGGATGTTCAAGACATATTCTGCGCCAGCGCCCCGGGAATTTGGCGTGCCGCCGAGGTTGTTTCCCGCGCGCTCCCAGGACACATCCTGGTCCGCTCCGAGACACCATCCAGGAAGCATTGGATGAGAGAAGGTAAAGGGGGAGGAGGCGGAGGAGGAGAGGAGGACGAGGAGAAACGAGAGGAGCAGGTGAGAGACCATGTCGCTATGAAACACTTAGTGGCGCCTTTTTCGCATGCGTATCGGATGCCTCCTCCGTCGTCCTGGGTGGCTCTTACAGTGAGCGGCTTGAGTAAGGGACACTTACTTTTCAAAAGGGGCTCGGTCGTTCCTTGGGCTTGCATGCGTTATTTATTGTTCCCTATGCGTTATGTATTATTTGTTCATCGTTCCCTATGCGTTATTCCTTGGAAGAAAGGGGCTCCGTTCCTTGTTTATCGTTCCTTAGGTCAGGCCGATGACTGTATGCAGTCTTGAGAACTTTTCGGGGGTCTGGGGCCTTCTTGGGAGCCTATCGAGGCTGGCCCCTTGAGACGCTCTCGGGGTCCCTGGAGGGGACGCTCGGGGCCGTCCTCAGGACAGAGTTGTGTGTCCGGGGGTACTTTCGAGAACGTCTTGGGTATGTTGTGCAATGTGACGCCCTGTCGAGTAGGCGTCTTTGCCATCCGACTCTCCTCCCGAACGCAATCATACGCATCTTGTCTCACCAGCTGGCATCTTCGGCCTCACGTGTACACCCGAGACCCGCCGAAGGTTGGGGCCAGGGGGGAGGGGTTGAGGATTGGGGGACTGGGGAGAGCAGCTCAGGGAATGACTCTTCGCATGCGATGTCTCGCCCCCAACCCCCGACTCGACGAAAAATGAAGCCGCTCAGAAAGGAAGGGAATCTGGGGGATACGTCGCCAGGCGGCTGTTCGGACGCACGCCCATCGAGGATGCACGCCCCCCTTCGTACATCCCCGGGCTGGGCCTCCATCTGAAGTCGGGGATACGGGTCGACGGGCCACCGATCGTCCTCATGGCCTGTGGGATCACGTGCCGTCGCGCGCCCTGCTTGGTTCTGACGGGTGTCCCTGCGCGAGTGCGGCTCCCCGGGGCCGGAGCAGCGCCTCGGCCATGCCCGGGCAGACTCTTCCGCGAGGCGCGGCGCTGCTCGTCGCACGTCGCCAGGGGGGAAAGAGGGTCCCGATCAGCCACGCGCCGAGGGGGGTACGGGGGGAGGCGGGAGGGCTGCATAGAGGCACCCCTGCTTCTTCGAAGGCGCGGGCCTCATCTACAAATGTAAGGCTGGCGCCTTCTGAGGAGCAGCCTCCTTCTACGAAGCCCTCCCCTCCTCCTCCTCCTCCTCCTCCTCCTCCTCCTCCTCCTCCTCGTCCTCCTCCTCCTCCTCCTCGTCCTCCTCCTCCTTCTCCCCCTCCCCCTCCTCCTCCTCCTCCTCCTCCTCCTCCTCCTCCTCCTCCTCCTCCTCCCTCCTCCTCCTCCTCCCCTCCTCCTCCCTCCTCCTCCTCCCTCCTCCTCGTCCTCGTCCTCCTCCTCCTCCTTCTCCCTCTCCTCCCCTTCCTCCTCGTACTCGTCCTTCTCCTCCTCCTCCTGCTCCTGCTCTCCTCCTGATCCTCCTCCCTCCTCTCTCCTTCCTCCTCCTCCTCCTCCTCCTCCTCTCCTCTCCTCCTCCCCCTCCTCCTCCTCCTCCTCCTCCTCCTCCTCCTCCTCGCTCGCCGTCGACAGGAGGCGTGGCGACCACGCCGCGTGGTGAGTCGACGGGGGTGCGGGTCCGCCACACGGCTGTGGGGTCCGGGCCGCTCTCCTGGGGCTTTTCTCGAGGGGCCAGAGTCGGGGACCCCCAGACGGGTTGGTGACCACACCGTGTGGCGAGTCGGCGGGGATTTGGGGTCACCGCACAGTTTCGGGACTCGGGTCGTTCTCCGAGGACGTCTCGGGCGATGGGGGCATCAGAGGTCCCGAAGCCGTGCGGTCACGGACTGTGCGGTGAGGCCTTGGGATGTCTCGAGGTCACCGCACGGTCTGTCACCTCACCGTTTCGGGGCTCCAAACAGAACCTCCAGGGGGTCCCAAGACCGTGCGGGGACGGACCGCGCGGTGGGGTCGTCGGGGAATCCGAGGTCACCGCGCGGCCCGCCGCCACACTTTTCCTGCCTTCTGCCATCCGCGCGGGGCCCCGCGGCAGAGGCGGAGAAGGAGCAGAACAAGAGAGAGAAAGACAGAGAGAGAGAGAGAGAGCTTGGCATCGCTCGGACGTGTGTATTTTCCCTTCGGCACGGACCATCGAACAGCATCCTTGATCATGTGGCGAAAAAAACACGCACGAGACCGAAACAAAAACGGGGGATGGACGTCCGAGCGATGCCCAGAGAGAGACGGAGGGGGAGAGAGAGGGGAAGCACGCGGCCGCCAGCACGCCACCCGCCCCCGCGTGACCAGGGGCCGCGCGCATGTCGCCGGGAAGGACCGCACGGTCCGTCAACGTAACAGTCTCGGGGCCCCAGATCATTTCGCTGCATTCATCTTGCCCCATTGCTGACGTGCTATACACGTCCTCCTGCTGCACCACGAGCGTGGGAGAGTGCGTGGGGACAGCGCGGACTGGATGCTGAAGGCACTCTCTGGCTGCGTCGTTCGCATGTGCTTTAGTCACCCTGCAAACGCACCGTGTGGTGCAAGCAAGGCTTTCTTGACTTGACGTGACCGCCGCCGCCGCCGCCCCTCGCTCGCTCGCTTGCTCGCCCCTCCTCCTCCTCCTCCTCCTCCTCCTCCTCCTCCTCCTCCTCCTCGTTCTCCTCCTCCTCCTCCTCCTCCTCCTCCTCCTCCTCCTCCTCCTCGCCTACTTGACTCGGCCCCTCGCGCCGAGCAGGACGCAGCGCCTGCTCCGGCGTCGAAGGAGGGCGAGCTCTGATCGGCGCGCGGGGGTCCTCCCGGGGCCGTGGCCGCGCCGCCCGCGTGCCGCCCTCCTCCCCCGCCCCCTGCTCTTGCTCCGCTGCGCTCTGCTCTCGCCGCCAGGGTGGGAGGAATGGGAAATGACGGGGGGAGGGGGAGGAGGAGGAGGACGAGGAGGAGGAGAAGGAGGAGGAGGAGGAGGAGGAGGAGGAGGAGGAGGAGGAGGAGGAGGAAAGGGAGCAGAGCAGAGCCGAGCAGATCCAACGGTCCGATGTGGTGCCTCTAACTACCGACGCAGCCAGGGCAACCGAAAACAGGAAGGTGACGGACCAGGCGCTCGAGAAGCACTTAAGGGGCTCGCTAGTCTGTGGGGCCCGGCAGGGGGAGACCTCTGGCAAAAGCGAGACCCCCGATTGGGGACATTTTGGGGGCTCGCCTATGCACTCGACCACTTCACGGGCCAGAGGCAGATGCGAAAACGCCCATCTCAGCACAGCCCCGACGGGGAGCCCCGACGAGGGACAGCCCAGACGTCGGAGGGCCTCGAGGACCCAGAGAGGCGGCCCTCCCCCGGAGAGCTCTCGGCGAGCCGCAGCCTACGCGGGGCCTCGGAGAGGGCCCGCACCCGCTCGGCGTCCAGCAAAGCCTTAATTGGTGTGTGTGTGTGTGTGTGTGTGTGTGTGTGTGTGTGTGTGTGTGTGTGTGTGTGTGTGTGTGTGTGTGTGTGTGTGTGTGTGTGTGTGTATGTGTGTAAAAAACATAGAAATCCAGGGCACGCAGGGCGTACCTGAGGATAGGCGCGGAGGTCCGAGCCTGGAGGGAGAGGAAGAGGTATCGTCCCGAAGGTGGCCCTGGATGCACAACTCAGCAGCACGAGCGCTGCCGTTGATGGCCGTCAGGCGGACACGAGCAGCCCATAGTCCCCGTCCTTCGCCTCCCCCTCCTCGTCTGGAAGGTCCTTGAGCCCCAGCTTCTGAATCAGCTTCGCCGCCTCTCGCTCCAGCCCCCCCCTCGGCGGGCTGGCGGGCAGTATGTCTTGGCCTCTGGAGTGCCCGCCGCGATCGCGATGATTGTATGGGAAATGGCTTCCACCAGGGTGAGCGAGTGATCCTTGAAGTTGTTCGCCTGCTGCTGCACCCCGAGCGTGATCTGGAACTTGATTCGGTCGGGCTTGGTCTGCGCTTTCTTGTTGTACCAGCAAGCCTTGATGCGGAATTGACGGCAGTGCACCTGCAGCGTCTGGAGAGCATGAGGAAGAGGAGGAGGAGGAGGAGGAGGAGGAGGAGGAGGAGGAGGAGGAGGAGGAGGAGGAAGGCGGAGGAGGGGGAGGAGGGATATGAGGACATTGCCAAGAAGGCTTCCGCCCGCAAGGCTGCCAAGGACAACGCATTCAGTTTGCTGGGTCTGCTGCTCGTCCTCCTGATCCAGGTGCAGCTGGCCAGATCAAGCTGTTTGCAGCAAGCTGTCCCCCAGCGCACGCCACCGAGGCACAGCAGAAACGACGGGGAGAAATCTACGCCGAGATGGTTCGGAGAACTGAAAAGCAGCGGCGTGGATAGCCCGAGTGTGACAGGCAAAAACACAAAGAACAGGACGTGAAGTAGATGTGCATTCGGCGACCCCTGATGTTGAAGGACAAAAAAATATGAACCATGCGAGTTTACGCGGTACGAGCATCACTTCTTGGCCGACAAGTGGGCGGGGGTTACGCCGAGCATGCGCGCGGCGGGCTACCGGTTGGGAGGCGCGCTGGCGATCCCGACGCAGGGGCACTACGGAAAACACAGGACATTAGCAGGAGTGGCGGTAGCGGTACCCAAGAACATCGCATGGCCGACGCGTGTGATCATACGTCGTGGGATGTGTCAGCGGGGGGCAGCGCAGGGCGCGACGGTTGCGCGATTGGCAGTCGGACGCGGAATTGTGTTGATGTTTGTATACCTGTGGACGGCCAGCGCGATGTGTTTCGGCAAGAGTCCCGAGGAGCCGTGGATCGCAGGAGGTGATTTCCAGGTCGCGCCGAATAAGGGGGCGGAGCTGGACACTGTCAAGTTTGCGAGGGCCATCGTGGTTGCTTCAGACGCCGTGAAGGGCACGCGTTGTTCGACGTGGGCCAACGCTACGATTGACCACGTCGTGGTCATCGCGGCGATCGGCTCCGAAGTGAAGCAGGTCGGGGCACGGGGCGCGCGGCCGCCGGCGCCTCGTAAGCCGGTGGGCGCCACGATCACTTTGGACGCACCTAGTCAGAGGGCGAGGGTGTTGAACATCGGAAGGTGTTCGGTGACATCGCGGCCACTTGTGCGCCGAAACCCTCAGAGCGCGAGGCGGCGGGGAACTTCTGCGACCTGGGCGATGCGACCATTCACTGGGGGAAGTTCATGGCCATGTTGGGGCAGGGGAAGTTCGCGCCGATGGGGGTCGAGCGGGCGTCAGACCATCCACGAGCGGTGAATTTGAAGGCGGTGACCAGGTCTGTCAAGCGCGAGGCGGGGGTCGAAGTGGATCGGTGGTGTCCATCACAGTTGAAAGGGGCCGCAGATGCGGCTTACCAGGCGTTCTTGGACACTCATGTAGCCTCTGCAGATGGCCACGGTGATGTTCCTCTTGGTTCCCAAGACTTGTCCGCTGACATGGCGATTCGGTCGTTGCTGGCGACGGTCAGATTATCGGAGGCCCTGGGGGGGGGGAGTCGCGCCTGGCACTGCGGGGAAAGGACAAGCGGCGCGAGCGGGACGTGCGCGTCGCATGGGCAAGCGGCAGAGGATGCCGCGTGGACGTCATGCTCGCGCGCGATGACGCCAAATACCCAGGCGCAAGGCCCGCGCCCGCGGAGATATTGGGTCCGATCAAATTAGCGCGCGCAACCCGTGGGGAGCTGGCCATCGGACGAGGTTCAACGCAAGGGGGAGGGGAGGGGGGCGACGGCGGCGGCGCGTTGGACTCGCGACGGCGGCGAGGCAGCGTCGGGGGGGGCGCGGGCAGCGGGCGCGATCGTAGTAGGCAGCGTATTTTCGGCGGGTATCCCGACGACGGTGGCCTAGTCTATTGCGGGCGGCCCAGCGGCTTAGCGCCCCTTCGCGCCCCGGCGCGCGACGTGCGCGGGCGACCCGCGCATCGGGCTCCGTGGGGCGCGGCGGGCGTTGATCCTTGATGCCGCATCGAAGCGCGCGCCAAGCTGGGGCGGGCTCGCTCGGCGGGGGAGCGCGGCGGGGGGGCCGTCGCGGCCGTCGCGAGGTGGCCGCGCAAGGCCGCGTTCAAGGCTATGGCAAAACAGGGTTGACCAGTCGCGCGCGCGCACGCGCCGGGGCGGGGGCGCGATCGCTGCAGGTGCCGCGGCAGAGAGCCATGGCGGCAAGAGATTCGCCGCGGCGCGCAGCAGGGCCAGACGGCCGCTTTGCATGGGGGGCGGAGCGTGCAAGATGATGAGAGAGAAATGGGTATGGCGCGCCCGTGCGGAATCAGTCGCTCGGTTCCAGATGGCCGCGGGTTCTCGGGCATGCCAGATCAGCAGTTGCGACGTCAACGCCGCGCAGCGGGCCAGACGCTGCCGGGCGCAAGGGGGCCCCGAGGGCCTAGCCTCGCAGCTGGCTGTGGCGGCGGAGGGCCCGGCGCGCGACGTCGCCGCGGCGCCTTCGCCGCGGCGGGCGCCGGCGGCGCTGGGGGCCGCGGCGGGCCGGGCGGCGGAGCTGGGCGCGGCAGGGTTGTCGGCGCAAGCGCGGCGGCGGCAGCTGCGGGGGGCTGGCTCGAAGCCCGTGCGCTCGCAGGTGAAGGGGCCATCGGGGGCGATCAGAATATCATTTCGGAGGGCCGCGTGGTCTCGGCCGCGCGGCCCGCTTTGGCCGCGAGGCAGGGCGACGAGCTCGGCGCGAGAGAGGTGGGCCCCGCGGGCGCGGCGGCGGGGCTGAAGATTGTTGCGGCGGCGAAGCGGCGGCGCGACTGGGCGCGGCAAGAGGGGCGCGGGGCCCTGGCGTCAGCGCCGCGCGTCGAGCCAGCGGCGGCGGGCGCGCGCGCGAAAGGGATTCCATCGCGCGCGAAGAACGCGGCCGAGGAGGCGGCGCTGTGCGATTCCTGGACTATGGGCAGGCTACGTCGGTGCAACGTCGCGCCGGCGGACATCTGCGTTGCGCGCGGGGAAGCAGTGGGCGCTCCTCATATATATAGCCACATATATATACACATGTGTGTGTCTATATAGATATATAGACACTCAGATCACCGGCGTTCCAGGCCCAGGGGGGGGGGGCCGGGCCCGCTCCCCCGCGGTGGTGCCGGGGCTCCAGGGTCTTCCATTCCCGCTCCGACGGCTCGAGATGGCCGCGGAGATCCCCCCGGCGGCGCCGAGGGGCCCCAGTGGCGCCCCAATAATCCCCGATGGGGCCTCCCAAGAGAGCGCCAAGAGGCAAAAGTGGCCCCGCGCTCTTCGGAAGACGCATATTTCTACCAGATTCGCTCCCCTAGCTTTCACCGCGTCCAAGACAGCACGAGACGCCCCGAAGGTCGCCCCGAGATGGCCCAGGAGGCTCCCGAGAGGGCTCCAAGACGGCTCGCGAGGGCCCCAAGACGGCCGAAGGGGCCCTTGGGCGCCCCGAGAAGGGTGCCAGATGGGGGGGCCTGAACGAACACGCGAAGCTCTCCGCCCTCGAGGTGTCCAGGATTTCCCACGAGGCCTCCACAATTTTCTCCGGGAGGCTCCAGGAGGCCCCGTAGAGACGCCAAGGAGGCCCTAAGAGGCCCCCTGAAAGCTCCCAGGAAGCCCCGCAGAGCCCCCCAGAGCTTCCCAGTAACTGCGCCGCCGGAAGGCCCCAGGGGGCCCCAAACGTTTCCTCATCAAGTCCCAAGAGGTCCCCTAGAGACCTCGGATACCTAATAAGCGCCCGAAGAGCTCCCAGGAAGCCCCGCAAGGCCCCCGAGAGCCAGGGAACAATTGCGCGCGTCAGCGTGTCAAGGGCTGGGGAGCGATGGAATCCTAGCGCGCGCGAAGCGCGTGTGTTTCTAGTCGTGTGTTTCAAGCGTGGGAAGGCACAGGAGGTCCGACAGCAGGGTCGAGCCGAGCGGCAGCGCGCGGCCGAGGATCAGGGGCGGCCCGCGGAGACCCGTCGGCAGATTCGAAAGTCCAAGCGGTCGACTTCCTGCCGGGGGCGATTAACCCCTTGCTGGTGGCATCAAGGGCGATGGCTCGCAGCAACAGCTCGGGCGCGCGCTGCGGGCGCGGGCGGGCCAGGCGGCGATGTCGATCGACGAAGCAGGAGCACCGATAGTGCAGAGTTGGGGACCTCTGCCATGCACCCATCTGTGCGCCGCATTGTGAAGAGAGGCGGAGTTGTGGGCTTTCCGTGCGCTGCTGGGGACATGATTCCGCCGTGTCGGGCATTCGCAGATCGCGGGGGTATCTTCGACATGTTAGCCGAAGACGCGAGATGGCGCTTGTGCCGGAGGCGGCCGCGCGCAGACCTGCGGAAGCGGATCCGGCATGAAGTGCGCGGCGTAGACTTTGGCGCCAGCTGGGCGACGCATGCCCGGGCGCGCCGGCCCAAGACGGCAGCGCGGCAGCTGGGGGGGGGAGTTGGAGATCGCCAGTGGGGGCGAGGTTGTGGATTTGCTGGCCAATGCCACCTGCGGAAAGCGCTTGGCGGTGGTGGAGCCGGGGGACAAGATGCGCTGGGCAGCGCAGGACGTGGGCTGGCGGCTCCAAAAGCTGAAAGGAGAGCGACCTGACGACCCACCGCGGCCGCCTGGGCGTGCTCGGCGCAGGGCCCCCGAGCCGCCGGTCAAGCTGACGCTGCGAGGGGTTGGGCAACGGGGTAAGTCGCAGATAATTATGCGCGGCGTGGCAAGAAAGCGGCAACAGCCAGAGAGAGAGGGAAGTTGCGGCAAGCACCGCGCGCGGTCACCGCCGTGGAGAACGGCTCCGCGGAACGCATCGGAAGGAAACCCGAGCTTTTCTTCGGAGGCGCGAGTTGCGCAAGAAAGCAGCCCGGTGCTCGACGGCGAGAACGTCCGCGGCGAGAGCGTCGTCTTCGGTTGGCACGGTTTCGCTGGCTGCAGGCGCAATCTCCACTGCCCGCGGCCCTGGGGATCTTGGGGGGGGGGGCGCGAATTGCGGCGATCATGAGGGGCGGGGCATGGGCGCCAGTGTCTACGGCGGAAAGTGGCGAAGTCCAGCTTGGCGCTAAACAGCGGCAGGCGCCCCCAGGGAAGGGGGGCTCGGCCTCGGTCGAGCGCGATTTTCCGGGGCCAGGCGGAGAACGCGGCAGGCGCGCCCAGGTGATGGGGGCTGACCTCAGGCGAACGCGCTTTGCCGGGACATGTTCTGCCCCGCCCGCCAGCGGCAGAGCGGGATCACAGGAGAGAGCATATCATAGAAGTCCATGGGCCCTGCGCGGCGCGCGCGACGCGCGTGGCCCGCTCGGCGCGACGTCGGGCGGGTCTGGCAGCTGGGCAAGAGCTGGCCCGGGGCCCCGCCCCAGAGAGCGACCTCCTCGAAGACGGACAGCAAGCGGAAGTGGCGGGGCAGGATGCGATAAGGCCTGCGCCCGCAGAATGGAAAACCTGTGCCCAGTGGCGCTCTGGACCAGAACTGCGAGGGGGCGGGGGGCCAGGTTGCCTTCCGCGGCGCGCTGTGCAACGGCGTCCGCGGCTGGGAGGACTGGGCGCGGCGTTTCGCGGAGGCGCGGTGGGCGCGGCGTTCGCTGTTTTTTTGTTGTTCCGTGTTTTTTTTCCGTTGCGCGAGGGCGTTGGCTGAGCCTTGCGGCGGAATCAGCTCGCGGCTTCATGGGGCGTGTGCAAGAAACATAGCGGGTGTCTTCCGGGGATGTCATGGGAGCTTGTTCGAGGCCTCTGGTCGCTCTCTCGGGCCCCCCTGGGAGGTCTCGGAGGCCATGTCCCTCAAGGGTCCTTAATGCGGGCGATCTTGAATGCGCGTTGGGCCGTTAGACCTAACAGGTTGCAGACTTAATATGATTGGAACATCCAAGGCTGCGCAATGATTTGGGCCCATCGGGTCGACTCTCAGAGCCTCCAGGACGGCTAAACAGGCGCCTAGGAATGTTCCGAGACGGATTACCTTAGACCCTGTTGGAACTACCAATCGGTAGCTGCGAAATTGGACGCGTGGAACCCCCAACATCCACTATCATTCATCCGCATTCCTACTGCGATCATCGAGTGTTTTCCCCTTTCCCTCCCTCCGTAGGGGGTGGGCGGAAATTCAATCTACGTTCATCGCTTTCCTACTTGATGTTTCTACCCAGTTGTTCGACCAGTGGGTATGGAATCCCAGCCACGCTTCCGAGACCTTCGACAGCGTTCCGCGGGCCAGCCCAGCAAGGAGGCCATTTGCATTGAGGATTCTTGGCCCAGGCTCCTTGACGAGTGTCGCCGAGGCCTCATTGCGGGTTGTGCCGGTTGATCGGGGATGGAACACACGCACGTGAGGCAGAATAACCCGTTCTTCGGTGAACGCCTTGTGCTCACATTCGTTGTGAGGAACATCCTGGAGGCCTGGTGCGGCGCGTAAAAGTAGTACGATCTAGTCCACACGTCAGTTCCGTAAACCATGGGTCGACACTCGCGCGGCGATGCTTTGGGGTCAGTCCGACGTAACTCCCACGTAAGTCCGACGTAGTCCGGCGTGGACCCGACGAGCATCTGACGTAAATCGGGTCTCAAGTTGCCGCGCGAGGCCTCCAGGATTTGTTTCAAAACATTCACGGGGGAGGCTACATTGGAGGCAGCGAGGCAATGTCCAGCTCGTGAGGTAATGTCCTGCGACGTCTGAGTTTCGGCGTTCGGGCGCCTCCGCCGAGTTCGAAGAGGGCCGCCCCCCGAGGAACACATCGGCGCCTGCCCGTTTGCCTGCTTAAGTTGGGCATGTCCCTCTACAGGAGGATTTTTTTAAACATAGTCAAAGAATCGTACGGGGACGATTCTTCGGTGATCGTTTGACTCTTTTTGAACATTTGTTTGGCCTATTTCATTTTTCGCCCAAACTCCGCCTGTAAGGGGGCATGCCCAGCCTAAGCCGGGACGCGGATCAGGGGGCCCCAGGAAGGCCGCGAGAGGGCTGGGGAACGCCTGCGTGCAGGCCAACGATCATCAGAGAACGGCTCGAAGAGCTCCTCGAGGCTGGACACGAGACGGAGCACTGTGCCCTCTGTACCGGAGACGCCTCAGGCGAGTCGCTGCTGCCCCTTGCTTCTCTGGAGGTGCCGATGTGGCCCAACGGCGCGCCCGAGCTTGGCCAAGCTATTGCACTACGTGTTCCCCTTGCCGTTGTGGAAGCCCTTGGGGGAACATGTGGGGAAAATGAGGAGAAGGATGATGATGAGGAGGAGGAGAAAAATGAGGAGGAGGATTGGAGGCTTCTTGGGGGCCTCTTGATGCCCAAGATCCTCATGGGTACTTTACGCGACCTCTTGGCCTTCGCAGGCTTTTTTTTGGGGGTCTCTTTTGGCCATCGTGAGGCCCCCTTTTGGCAGTTTTTAGGGCCGTCTTGGTGGTCTGCGGACCATATTGGGCCGTCTTTGGAGTCTCTTGGGCTGCCTTAGGGCCCTTTCGGGGGCATCCGTCGTCGTCGTGGGGCCGTCTTCGGCCGTAGGAAGCCTGAGAAGGCGAGAGAGCGAAAGCAATGTGAGCGTACTGAGACGCCTCATGGCCACGCTTTATTTTGACATCCTGGAAGTTCCTTGGGGGGCGTCTCGGGGGTCGTCTTGGGGGTCGTCTTGGGGGCCTTGGGCTGCCTTGAAGTCATGTTGGGCCGTCTTGGTGGCATGTTGGGCCCTCTTGAGGCCACCTTGACCATGGAGGAGGAGGAGGAGGAGGAGGAGGAGGAGGAGGAGGAGGAGGCACAGGAGGAGAACGAAGTGGAGACCGGGAGGAGGACGTCCAGCAGGAGGGCAGAGGCAGGGGAACACCGCGGGTCGGACGCACGAAGACGATGCGGATGGCGAGGAGGAGGGATGGGTGGGCAGGTGCACCCCCGCCCGTCCCTCGTCCCCTTCCCCCCTCCGTCTCTGTCTCCCTCGCCATCGCGTCATTCTCCCCGCTCCCCTCCGCTCCCCGTGGCCTCGCCCTCTCCCACCCCATCGTCATCCCCCTGGCTCTGCCGGCTCCTCCCGCCCCCCGGCCTCCTCTATGTCCTGTGCATTTGCTTCTTCCCCACGCTCTTCGTCCCCCCCCCGTCCCCCTCTCGTGTTTCTCCCCTTCTCACCCTTCCATTGACGCCAGCCTCCCCCCCCCTGCCCTTCACGTTTTCCATGGTCGTGAGCGTGGCGCCATGGAGAGGGCTGATTGCAGCAGTCTTCGGGCCAGTCTCACCTTCCAACTTTCAATTATGTATTTTCCCCGTTTGGTCAGCCATGTACAGCAGTAGGTGTAGCTCTGCCGCCACACAGACCGCGCTGATTACGCACCTGGGCGACGAGGCCAGGGAAATAAGGCGTGAACGGGGCATGTGCCGCCGAACAGACTGAGAAGGAGGATCCGGCGTAGCAGGATGTTGAGTGGAGGGGGATCATGCGGGAGTGAGAAGGCGCATGAGGTGAGGGGAGCAGGAGCAGAAGCAGCAGGAGGAGGAGGAGGAGGATAAGAAACATTACCTGAACTGATTGCAACAACCCCACAGCCTCCGAAGGGGGGGCTTCGTGGCGCTGTCTTTTGGCGTCCGTGGCTACAGGGAAGGAGATGAGCAGCAGGAAAATGAGGATGAGGATCTGGAGGGTAATGGGGGATATGGAGGAGCGGGAGCAGGACCGCGATAAGCAGTGAGCGGATAGGGGGTAGAGTAGGTGTAAGAGTTGGCGTGGTGCGGAGAGTCCAGGCATGAAGAGCAGCATGGCTTTCACGGAAGGGACCACCTGCTTGCATGGTTGGGTGTGACGGTATTGCCATCAGAGTGTGCAGGCGCCAGACACCGTCGACCCTCTCGAGGATGAGAAAAGCGCTCCGATGCGCGGGTCTGAGTGACCGGCCCCGCCGCTGGCCTTCCGGGAGGGTGCCCAGAGGCTGGCACCCGCCGGCAGCCTCGATGAGGCGCGGGGCACCCCGACGGGCGGGGTGAGTGGTCGCCCCGTCCGCTGTCGACCAAACCCTCCTCCCCCTCCTCCTCCTCCTCCTCCTCCTCCTCCACGGCCCTCCATTTTGCGCTGCGGCCCATGGGGGGCCGCAGCGCACGCCACGCAAGACGCCCAAGCCGATTCGTTGTCTTGCCCATCGGCGTGGGCCCTCGCACCCCCCCGGTCCCTCTCCCGCGCGCGGGTCCCATCGCAACCAGAACGGTCACTTTACAGCCACATGGGGCACTTTACAACCAGCATGGGGTTTCTCAGAATGGCACTTTACAACCAGGAAGGCGATTCTACAACCAGGCGATCAAACCCATATAAGCTACACGTGTTCCTCAATGTCCGAATTCTCCGTGGGTCCACGTGAGAGACTTTTCGCTCTCTGAAGTGTGTTGGTTGTAAATGAACTCGTCTCAAAAAAGAACCTGTGGAGTGGCGGATTCCTAGCGGGATCCAAAACGGATCCTATTGGAATCTAAGTGGCACCCTTCCCACTGGGATCTTATTGGCACCAGGTCAATGAGTTAGATTCCTTGCTATGTGGCCGACGGGCGTCCTATTGGAATCCGACAGGGGCCCTTCCTGATGGAAACCGATTAGAGACCCTATTGGATTACACTCGAGGAACCTTCCTATTTAAATGCTGCGGGGAATGCATTGGGGTACGACATGGAAATCCAGTGGCAATCCATGTGGGATCTTATTCGTAAGCAGTCGGAGCCGTGTCTCTTGGAGTCCCATCGGAATTATATCGGCGAGTACGAAGGACATTGCAGTGGAATGTCATCGGAATCCTTCATTTTTGATCCACACAGGCATACTGTTGGGATCCCAGCAGGCCCTAACTGCAACCCAACAGGAACCTGTCCGCTTCGAGTCATACCTTAACCCGATTGGCGTCCTTGTGTTTTGGTTGCGGTATCCACAAGGAGCTATTGGAGCCCAATTGAGATCCAATCGGGATCCTCCCGCTACAGGCTGGTGACAGGCCTGGGCGGTGTAAGCCTTCTGTTGCATCTATGCCCTAAATCTGTATCATTTTTTTGAGCCGCATAACCTCTGCCTGAAACTCTTGCTGCTTGTGCCAATCGACGGGCACTAAGCGTCCGCCGCAAACGACGCAGAGGAACACGCGCGCTCCCAGGAGAGCGGAAATGTGACCAAGAAATCGTTGGCACCAGTATAACCAGTACATGTGCAATCCAACTAGCTATGTCTTGCCATTATGATCATAGTTAGTCCTCGCGCCTCATCGCCTGGCAATAACCAAACCGTATGTTTTCGCATGTGCGGAAGCATGCGTACCCAGAAAAAGCGGAAGTATGGCCAAGAATGTGTTGGTCATTTTCTAGCAAGTACGTATGCAATTCAATGTGGAGGTTTGTTCCATCACAGACCATGTTTGTCTTCGCGCCTCATCGTCTGGCAATACCAAAACCGTATGATTTCGAAATTGCGGAAGCAATCGGTGGTGCAGTTCTAGCCAGTACATGTGGATGTTACTGATTGTTGTTGCCTCGCAGGCTGTTTGTGTCCTCGCGCCGCCCCATCTAGGATGTAAAGAGGGCCGCTCTGGTTCTAAAATGGGCTGTTCTGGTTGTGAAGTTGTCGATCCCAACGGAAAGCCATAACATTAGATCTTCGGCTGGTTGTGAAGTATCTCATCTTGGTTGTAAAGTGCCGTTCGGGTTGAAAAGCGAACGAATCTCCACTCCCCCCCCATGGAGTAGACCTTGATTATTTTTGACGTCTGTTTCGAGCAGGGGGGGGTCCCCACACGACGCACTGTTGCGAATAATCGTATCAAGCATATTCCCGCCCAGTATCGAAACGCTGAATGAGAAAACGCTCGCAAACCCACGCCAGAATTCGCGGTATGTTTTCTTATTCGGCGTTTCGACATTGGGCGGACGGGGAGGGTCTGGCTCCGGACTTCTGCTTGATGCGACTGTTAGCAACAGTACGTTTTATGGAGGAGGGTCCACCCGCTCGAAGCAGGCGCCCCAGCCAAAATCTACTCCATTGGGGGGGGGGGGCGGGATGCGAGGGCCCGCGCCGATGGGCAAAGCAACAGGTAAGAAAAAACGATCCCCGTCCGTTGGGGCCGTGGGTGAGGCGGTGTCGTCTGTTTTCTGGTCTGCGCTGGCCCTCCCCGAGGGCTGGTGGCAGCTGGTCGCCCGGGGCCGTCGGCCCCCCTGCCCCCCCCCCTGGCGCGGCGCCGCAGCCGCGGGTAGCCGGAGGGCGCGGTCTGCGAGACAGCGGCCAGTTGTGCTCGAGGTGACCAGCCTTACGTCGGGCCTCTCCCTGCACAGGAGGAGTATTCGAAAACAGTAAAAAAGAGCATGGGGACGACAGTTGTTTGTTTTTGTTGCGCACTTGTGCTTATTTTTCATGTGTCGTCCCAAAATCCGCCTGTAGGAGGACATGCCCGACCTAAGGCCAGCCGGGCAGTGACGGGAGCCTGGGCTCTGGTGCGGCAGAAGCTCCGTAGCAGATCGTGGGACCCCTGGCATACCATCTTGATTCCGTCTTCAGCAGCAGCTGCACGCAGCAGACCCGACCTGTTACCCTTGAGCAGCAGCTACACGCACGGAGCGCGGGACGAAGAAGGAGGGGGGAAGAGTGATGGGCCTGTTTTCCACCACCACCATAAGTTGGAGGGGAGGAGGAGGAGGAGGAGGAGGAGGAGGAGGAGGAGGAGGACGAGGAGGACGAGGAGGGAGGAGGACGAGGAGGGAGGAGGAGGAGGAGGAGGAGGAGGAGGAGGGAGGAGGAGGAGGAGGAGGAGGAGGAGGAGGAGGAGGAGGAGGAGGGGGAGCACGAGGAGGACCCCCTCCCCTTCAACTTATAATGGTGGTGGTGGTGGTGGTGGAAAACAGGCCCATCAAGGAGGGCGCGGCAGGACGTTCTTGCTGCTCTTCTCCACTTTCCCGGATGCCCCCGGATGCCCTTGGGGGGCCCGGCCCCCCCCCTGGGAAAACCGCCTCGCGGCCTCGAGAGGGCGGGCGAACGTAGAGAACAGAAGGGCCTCTTCGGTAGCAAGTCTCGGGGGCGGCAAAGAGGGAGGTGATGACTGGGGGGGCGTGGACACCATTCCGAGGGCCATGATAGTTCCCCAGATTTCATGGCGCCTCCTCTTACTTCCATACGTCCCTGGCCCCCCCCCCTTGGCTGCGCACGCGCCGCCGGACATGATTTGCACCTCCCCTCTTGGAGGAGGAGGAGGAGGAGGAGGAGGAGGAGGAGGAGGAGGAGGACGACGAGGACGACGAGGACGACGAGGACGACGAGAACGACGAGGACGACGAGAACGACGAGACGACGAGGACGACGAGGACGAGGAGGACGACGAGGACGTGGACGATGAGGAAGAGGAGGCGGAGGTGGAGGAGGAAGAGGAGGAGGAGGAGGAGGAGCAGGAGGAGGAGGAGGGGAGGAGGAGGAGGAGGAGGGGGAGGGAGGATGAGGAGGAGGAGGAGGAGGAGGAGGATGAGGAGGAGGAGGAGGAGGAGAAGAGGAGGAGGAGGAGGCAGAGGAGGCAGAGGAGGAGTAGGTGGCGGAGGAGGAGAGCAGCAGCAGCAGCAGCAGCAGCAGCAGCAGGAGCAGCAGCATGAGCAGCAGGAGCAGCAGGAGCAGCAGGAGGAGGAGGAGGAGCAGGAGGAACAGGAGGGCGAGGGCGAGGGCGAGGAGGGCGCGGGCGGGGAGGAGGTGGAGGAGGAGGAGGAGGAGGAGGTGTTCCCACCGGCCAGTACAGAGCGCTTGCGGTCCGCAAGGCTGTCAACATGACCTTCCTTCTGCTGGCAACCCCCGCCCCGCCCCCCTGCGAGCGGCCCCCCTGGGCGTCAAGAGTGTTCACCGGTCCGTCGGCTCGGTCGCGTCACTGTTGGTTGCGTTCGGACGGTTCGGTTCGGTGGGTTATCGTGTCGTTGCCGCGTCGTTGCGCTCTTCTAAGCTGCCTGCGGCCTGCCGATCTCGGTCGGTCTCAGTTTCGCTGTCGGGTTCGATCGGCGTTCGCTGTGCTGTCGCCGTGTACGGCCTTGGGCGTGGAGAGTTGTTGAACAGGGTGCGCGAAACTACTCGTCTCGTGCTCGATTAAGTCGTTTGAGGTTTCTCGGTTCGGCGCGGCGGATTTAGTTGCGTTGGATGCCTTGCGAAGGAGGGGGAAGACGTCCGAGGAACGAGGAGGTCTGTATGCTTGTATGCTTGCTGATCCTTCGGAGCCTCCAGAGGCCCACAGCTCCCCCCCGTCACTGCGCCTCCCTCGCCCTGGCCGTCCCTCCCTTCCTCAGGAGGGAAAAAACACACAGACACAATTAATCCTCGATCCCCCAGAAAATATGGGAAAATATGGGAAGTGGGGGGGGGGGGAAGACAAAAACCCAGAAAACATGGGAAAAT